GAGAAATAATGAGTGGTAAAGAAGACTAAAATATAAAGATTACATTATCGATAGGTATCTACATATACATTATTATATACATTTATTATATTTATACGTACCGTATTGCTGTACTATTTACATGATCTAAATCCTATGTATGCACACAAAAGCACACATTTTTTTCTTCTTTTTTTTTAATTCAAACATATAAATTCTTTAAGTTTACTCCAAGAGGTCTCATTCGAGCTCATCTAGGGAGTTCACTTAATAAAAGATTTACACATTTGGATGTGGAGTACAAACACACACACACACAAAGAAGAAAAACTAACAAAAAAGTTATAAACAATAATATAAAAAGTAAATTATGTTATAGCAATATAGTAGTGAAATTGTAAAGAATTTTTTCTTATAAATGTATAATTAACTTTTCGTAAACCTTTTTGTATCGATAATATATTTTTGCACTTCTAGAAACAATTTAAGACTATTAGAAACAGTTAAATTGGGACGTCCGTTCAAAAAGTAATCAATCTTTTGATTATCGGTGGTATCGTTTACAAAAAGCTGTGCGGAAACAAAAAGGCTGTACAATGAGCTGCATATCGAGAGCAGTGTAAGAAATAGTGGCAAGCTGATTCAACTGAACCATCATTACATTCACAAAGTGGAGAGGGCTTACATGCAATTTTAAACAGATATGAATTCAAAGCAGACTGTCGAAGACGCAGTCGCGTATGCAGTATAGAGGCCTGCCCACTTAGAGATGCATTTAAAAGTTGATTATATTCTAGTACACTGGTGAGATCGAATTTTTCTTTGAAATACATTTAACGAGTTTGAGTAACGAATATCGTTGTCTAATTCCGTCGTTCCAAATTGGAATTACAGAAGGCAAATAAGACCTTTGACTCTTTTTTTCAAAGGAAGCAAATTAAAGAGATATGGTGGAGTTAAATGGTTCACCATTTCATAAAAAGGAATTAGTTTTTGCACTTTTCTTCTAACTTTCAGATCTTCCCAACATAGTTCATTTAACAGGTTCACTTTACTAGTTCCCTTTATTGCACCAGTTACTATCCGAGCACATTCATATTGTATATCTTCTAGGATCTTACTATCTTCTTYACTACAACCATCCCACATAGTGTCACCATATTCCATCAAAGGACGAATTAAGCTTTTATACAGAACAATTAAGGTTGAACGATTCAATTTATATTTGAGACCCCTAAAGATGTTTAGGGCTTTACTAGCCTTTTCATGAATGGCCATGATGTGTTCTTCCCGAGAAAGGTTGTCTGACAGAGTTAAACCAAGATGTGTATGAGAGCTAACTTCGCGAATAGGGACATCATTGAAACAAAGTATTGGGTGTGTTATTTTGCTACGCTTTACTGTGAACGTCATCGATTCACATTTAGTAATATTCATTTTCATTGACCACTTATCACACCATTGACTTATAACCTTCAGATCATTATTTAGCTCACATGACGATCGTAGAGGGTTGTCCACAATATCAAACAGTGAAGTATCATCGGTCCGTTTTAACTCTTTGTGGAGTGTTACACGGACCATCATCAACATAGAGAAAGCACTGCGATTGTACATCCACACAGATATCATTTATATAAATCAAAAACAGCAAAGGTCCTAGTACGGACCCTTGTGGTACTCCTGCGTATATATTGGACCAGTTAGAACATTGTCCTTCAATCACAACACGCTGCTGTCTGTTTGAGATATAACAGCGGAACCAACTCGTAAATACGATGTATAATCAAAGTCATTTGATAAACTGTACCGTCGCCTGGTCTAAAGCCAGACTGGTGGACGTTAAAAAAACTAATATCCTCCAGAAAATTATATGCTCTAATAAGCACTACTTTCTCGCTAATTTTAGATAATGAATCAAGTAATGAAACGGGTCAATAGTTTTCTTTCGACTGACGATCCCCTTTTTTGAATAACGGTATAACATTAGCTTTTTTCCACTCGCTAATAAACTCACCACGTCTAATACTAGTATTACATATGGCTGAAAAAGATGCAGCAACACCGTCACATCACATTTTAATTATTTTGTTACTGAGATTATCATGCCCGCACGCTTTTGAGGTATCCACTTTCTGCATCAGATTCAATATTTCAGTAGCGGTCGTCTCTATATTAGATAAAGATTGAGACGAAAATTGCGCAGGAGGAAGAGAATGTAGATCTTGTTTCGAGTCATCAATTTTACTTTGATTTATAAAAAAGTCATTAAACAAACTAGCTTTTTTACACGAATCCACTATAAATTCAACCCCTTCTCGGAGAGCTGGGATTGATGTGCAATTTTTTTTCTTGTATACAGATTTAACACAACCCCACCATTTCTTAGAAGCAATGGAAATGTCTGACAACTGTTTGTTTAATTTGATATAATAATCGTTTTTAGCCTTACGGATCAGGCTGTGGTGATGTTTCTTTGCGCTTTTAGTTTTCCCAAGTAGTATTTGTTTTTTGTTCATTCAACTTTTTTAATAACCTGTCGCGTTTAAGAATTACTGCGCGGATCTTGGAGGTGAACCATGGCTTATCACGTGGACGAATATTCACTGTATTACTATGTATAAACTTACAAATAATATTGTTCACTTGACTGAACCATGATGCATACACGTCATCAATATGCGTTATATTTTCAGTGATCGAATCCAAAGCTATCTCTTTTAATTCTTTATTTAGTTCTAAAATGTTAACCCCAGAAAAATTCCAAATATGTCTTTTGAAAGCTCGTGGTCTAGCAAAAGTAACACAGMATTTAGCAAATATATAAGAATGGTCACAGCTAAATGGAGGGCTAAATGTTCCAGAATCGACAAAAAAA